AACAAACTTGGCCTAATTATTTACATAAGCTCAGCAAGAACAGTGATTGGCCATATAGATCTTCTAAAATTTGCTTTGCTGGAACTTTTCATAAAGAATCTTGATTGAGGGGCGCCTGAGTGGCTCAGTCATTAAGCATCTGTCTTTGGCTCAGGTCGTGGTCCCAGGGTCCTGGGATCGAGCCCCGCATTGGGCTCCCTGCTCCACAGGAGGCCTGCTTCTCCCTCTCCCACTCCCCCTGCTTGTGTTCCCTCTCTCACTGTGTCTCTCTCTGTCAAATAAATAAAATCTTTTTTTTTTTTAAATCTTGATGGAACTTTTAGTAGCCTCTCTAGGCCAAAAGCCAAGCCAAGTACTTGCCATACCTGTAGACTTGGGCGAATTCCTCTTTATGAGGTCCCCCAAATATCCCGAGGTTCCTGCACCTGTCAGGAAGTGACATTCTTGACTCACCTGGTGAAGCTTCTGGGAACTCTGTAAGCAAGGTATGAGGCCAACATTCCCAAGGGGTTTTATGGCTCCAAGTTTCATAAAGTCAACCTTAGTTCCTTAAAGCTGTTGGGTCATATCTGAGTCTATGCATGCCTCTCTCAAATATGACATTCCAGTCAAAGCCTTGGTAAAATAACCAATGTTTCCAATGTCCTGTTACAAGGAGAACAGATTTTTTTAAAAAAGATTTTATTTATGGGACTCGATCCCAGGGTCCTGGCAGACGCGTAACCAACTGAGCCACCCAGGCATCCCCAGGAGAACAGATTCTTATTGAACTTATGCAAACAACTATGAAAGAACACTCACTGAGACCTTTTGAATTTCAGAAGGTTCAGGTAAAGAGAAAAGTCAAACACTTCAACTCGTTCACAAATGAATACTTTATTGCATTTCTGTAAGTCATAGCTATCTTAAGAGAAAGTTTTCTTAGTCTGAAAGAGCCAGCAATGTCTTAGGCAAGAGTCACAAAAGTGTAATTATCTTCCTCAATTTATTTAATCCCATGTTACTAATTCTTATTCAGTTTGAATGCAACCTTTTAGTTTTGAAAATTCTTACCTATTTTATGATTTTTAAAAGATTTATTTATGTATCTATTTATTTGAGAGAGAACACTTGCTCATGGGCATGGGGGGCAGAAGAGAATCTTTTTTTTTAAGATTTTATTTATTTATTTATTTATTTGAGAGAGCGTGAGAAAGAGCACAAGTCAGGCGGGGGAGAGACGGAAGGAGAAGCAGACTCCCCGCTGAGCAGGGAGCCCCATGTGGGGCTCGATCCCAGGACCCCAGTACCAAGTGATGACCTCATACCAGAACACAACATACCAATAAACAAGCCTAATTAGTCAGAGACTTCATTTACAATTCAATTCTCGGGGAAATTTGCTAAAACCTTAGAAAGCTTTAAAGCACATGCCTAAATAGGATTACAGCTCAATAAAGACCTAATAAAGACAAAACATAGAAACTTTGGTTTTCTGGGCAAAGAAAAAAGCTTTGTTTACATTTCCTTATCAAGAGCAAACCAACAATGCAAGAAAACTTTGTCTTTCTAACAGAGAGAAAGCAGAATTTTAATCTTATACCAGTGTACTTTTAAACTCCATTCATTTCCATCTTAGTCCATCCTGACCACACAAAAAATTCCTTTCCAAAGTTTTCCCATCACAAACCTTCTACAACTTTCTTTTGCATTCAGATTTTGTCCCAAGCCATTTCTCTCCAAACAACCAGGCTCATTTAGGACAAAATTACCTTCTTTTACCTTCAACAAAAATGTATTCCCATTCCTTCTATCTTTCTTACATATCATCTACTTTTCTACATACAGAGTTGTTTCTCTTATTTCCATCAGTCTTAATTACATTCAGCAGAATTTTAACTCTAAGAAACCTGAGTCTCCAGTGGAAACTAAGTAGTAACCAACTGTGAATTGTTACACCAGAATTCTTTAGTTGGCAAATTTATGAATCAATTAAGCACAAAGCATGTTTTCCAACACTCAGACATCCTGTTTCTCTGCATTAAGAAGCCAAAAGTACAAACCTACGATCAGTAATCAATGTGTTAGCACTCCATTCTATTTGGAAAAGACCTAGAGGTCCAACAAATTCAATCCCAATTTATCACTCAAACTTTCAAGTTTTGGGTTACCAAAGACCTTGAAAGGTATCTTAACAATTACCCATGAGAACTTGGAGACCAACCAAATTCACCATCATTTTAAGTCATCTTTTTGCCAACAAATTGCAACGGAGATCACAAGCTTATTTGACCTTCAGTAAACCTTGGTAGAATAAAAAGTTTCACGCTTAATGCTGATAACTCTAAAGAAATGTCTTAATTAAACAACAAACTTAAATTAGTTTAAATATCAAATTACATTTCACCTGGGTTCGCCTAACAGTCAATCAATTTGTTCCCCATTGTCAGTTTTCACCTGGGACCCCGCTGGGGCAGTCTGAAGTGGGTGGTGCAAATATGAGGGGATGCTCTTCACCCTTGACTATGCGGGGGAGGGGAAGGAGCCAATGGTGCTGGGGGAGGCACCGAGGATGGTCTAGGAAGTCAGTTATGCAGGCTGCACCCAAGGTGGTGCAGAGACAGGAGGAGAGAAAGGCATAAGAGGCAAGGTGCCCCCAGAAGGCAGAGACCGAGGACTCCTGGTTTTAAGCCTCATCAGCTCGAATGAAGGAGCAGACGCCATGTTCTCCTGCCAACAAGAGGGAGTAGGCAGTCCGTGTTGGGCCAGAATAGTTGGGGAACTTCCCCAAAACACAAGGAGTTTCAGCAGCTGCTTGGGAATATTCCTTAAAGCCTCGGGTCGAGGTAGACAAGCCACAGTGGCTCCAACAATCATAGCCATCAGCCCGGAAAATGAATGAGGGAGAAGCCCCACATCTATGAGAAGGAGGAAGAGTGAATCAGCCAGCATCCAAATGTCGGGAGGGGGTTTATTTAGACTGGTTGATGGCCACACACATTCTGCAAGGGGCTCCTAGGTCCAGGTCCTGATTTGGGGCCATGACACCGAGCAAGATACCTATGGGACAGCGAACGCACGGGGAGGCGTTCCAGCAAAGGTCCAGCTGGAGAACAGCGTTGGAAGACAGCCCCAAGGGAGGGCCATGCCTCCTGATCCGGGAGTTTGTAGGAGGCCAGGAAACACAAAAAGGGGAGACATTTTTCCTCAAGCCTTGGGGGTCAGATTTGTTCCAGCTTTGATAGACACAGCCTAAGAGTGAGTTGGAAGGAAGAGAGGGGGTCTGTAGGGGAAAGACTGGCCGCCCCAGTGAGGCGCCTGCCACAGGGAATGGAGCTCTGACTCATGGTGGTGATTCCAGTCAGGGCGTCCTGCTGCCCTATCTGAGGTGACAGACTCTTGGGGCATCCCATCACCCAGAGGGGTTGTGCAAATACAGGGAGGCTCTTTTGGGGTGTCCCACTGCACCAGGGGTCCCACCAAGAGGGCTGCAGCTAATGGCAAGGCGCTTCCTGTGGGGGTATCCCCCCAGCAGCGAAACCCACCAGATGGGACAGAGGAGGGGAAGACTCGCCGCTCAGCCATGTGGGAACAGTCGGCCTGCAGACCAGAATGGTGGCTGGAGCCAGTGATGTGGGACTCTAGGGGCAGACCTCCGGTCGGAGTCAGAAAGCAGAGGGAGGGGGCCCTTCGCGCTCGGCGCAGCCAGTCCAACCGCCCTAGGGAGCCGCCCTGGCGCAAGCCTTCAGTCCTTCGAGGGGCCACTAGGGTTAGACTCCCAAAGTGCCGAGAAGAGCAAGGAGAGGGAGGGAAGGGTCCCTCCAAAGGGAAAAGGGGACATCCTTCAGCCTTCCAGGCAAGGGCAGTCCGGCTGCCTCCCCCTGGGGCTTCAGAGCCTCACTGAGGAGTCACCAAGGCTGGAGGCCAACAGGTCCCCAAGGAGGACTAGCATCCCAGACAGGCAAAAGCTCCATGTGCCGGGTTCCCCCAAATGTACGGGAACCACAAAGTCTTTGGACAGGCCACTAAATATTGTGCCTCAGTGGAATGTCTCTCGATTGGATGGGGGCCCCCATAGGTGGGGCGAGGATCAGGTGGAAGCCTGTGGTACGGGCAGGGAATGAATCCACCTGAGGCAGAACACAGGTGATAGAAGTTCATTGACTACACTGCAAGGGAGCGCGGGCAGGATACCGGAGGAGAAATGGTCTGCGAGGAGGTGGGGGGGGGGGGGCTGTTTTTATTTTTATTTATTTATTTATTTATTTATTTATTTATTTATTTATTTATTTATTTATTTATATTTATTTGAGAGAGAGAATGAGAGAGAGAGCACATGAGAGGGGGGAGGGTCAGAGGGAGAAGCTGACTCCCCGCCGAGCAGGGAGTCCAATGCGGGACTCGATCCCAGGACTCCAGGACCGTGACCTGAGCCGAAGGCAGTCGCCCAACGAACTGAGCCACCCAGGCGCCCCTGGGGGCTGTTTTTAAAGGGGAAGGTGAGCAGGTACGGGGATGTATGGAATTCTCCCCTTTTTGGTAACTGTGTCTGCTTGTAAGAAGCCCATCGGTCAGTTAGGGCCTGTGGCTGTTTTGAGGTGGGTCCCCTGATGGGTCTGCCTCCAGCCAGGAGGTCCCTGGGGGCCTTTCTGCGTTGCATTGCTCAAGCCTGTTGGCCTGAAGGCGGCCTCCACACTCCCCTGTTCCAGGAACCGAGCTGTGTCGAGTTAGAGATGGGCTTGTTCCTTCGTTGTCCTTCGTGTGCCTGGCTCTTTCGAGAAAGCCCGGTTGCAGGGAGACTTCAGAGTCTGTCCCGTATAGGTCAGATCTTCTTTTCTAAAGTCTTCGGGCACCTTGCGCGGTCCAGAACTCCCGTGACAGTTCTCGCTTTATAGGCATTGGTGGAAGTGAATCTCGTCCATGGGACTCTAAGTTCCACGAGAGGGCCTCGGGTTCAGCTCCACATTTATCGCATCCCAGTGCCTGGCCGAGTGGGCACTCCGTAGATATTTGCGGCACAAATGAATCACAGGTGAGAGGAGAAGCATGTTCAGCCCAGACGAGATCAGAAGAGTTCCTCATGGAAGAAGGAGGTGGGAGAGGGGAGGGCGACAGGAGCAGGGGGCAGGAGGGACTAAACCACTAGAATAAACCACTCCTCACAGGACGATGTCTCAAAAGGTAGCTCCTGTCCTTCCCGCCACCGTCCATTTTCATTTTCTGCCTTAAGCAGACCTTGGTTCTTAGAACACACACACACACACACACACACAAAACCCCTTTATTTTGTTAATTTAAAAATAATATAAGAAATATGAGAGTATATTCATGGTCACAATTTTGTGACAAGAAAGAGTAAATGGAGAGAGGACTAGCCCTACCAGACTCTAAAACGTACTTAAAAGCTCACAATAGGGGCGCCTGGGTGGCGCAGTCGTTGAGCGTCTGCCTTTGACTCAGGTCACGATCCCGGGGTCCTGGGATCGAGTCCTGCATTGGGCTCCCTGCTCTCTACTTCTCCCTCTCCCTCTGCCTCCCGCTCCCCCTGCTTGTGCTCTGTCAAATAAATAAAATCTTAAAAAAAAAAACCTTTAAGAAAATAAACGCTCAGTAACAGTTTATTATCAAAGAAGATATAGATAAGTGGAGAAGCATACACCAAATACATTTACAGCTAGCGAGGAAAAGGGGGACGACCCATCAAGCGAGACGCAGAGAGGTTAACTAACTGGCCAAAGTCACACAGGCCCCAAGTGGTAGGAGAGTGATTCCGTCTGAGTGTCTGGACTTCTCACTTCAGAACCTGCCCTTTTAAACGTTACGCCAGCTGTCCTTGGGTACCTGTCACCAAGGCTTGGACGGGGCATTGCAGATAGAAATTGCAAATAGAAGGCATCCACGAGTGAGACCCTAAAGGGGGTCTTGCGGGGGCGGGGGGAGGACTAAAGAAAATTGGAACAAAAATGTAAAACTGCTTGCTGAGGTCTCGCCCACCCGGACCCACGGGCCACAGCCCAGCCGCCGGCGGGTCTAAGACCCCGGACAACCGGCAGGTGCACCAGCCCGCGCCGCATGGAGCCTCCCCGGAGTCGACTCGTGCGAGACCCAGCGGGCGCCTAGAGCCCGGCCGCGTCTGCGCAGAGGAGACCCTCGAGCGGGCGGGGACGGGAGCCGCAGGGCCGCCCGAGTCTGCGCAGAGGAGACACCGAGCGGGCGCCGCGGGGCTGCCCGAGTCTGCGCAGAGGAGACCCCAAGCGGGCGAGGGGGGAGTCCGCCGCGGGAGCTGCCCGAGTCTGCGCAGAGGAGACCCCGAGCGGGCGGGAGGCGTCCACCGCGGGAGCTGCCCGAGCCTGCGCAGAGACCCCGAGTGGTTGCCGCGGGGCCGCCAGAGTCTGCGCAGAGGCGACCCCCGTGCGGGCGGGAGGCGTCCGCCGCGGGAGCTGGCGGCGGGGGCGGGGGGACCGCCGGCTCGGGGAGCGCTCCTGACGCGGGCCGAGCCGGGGTTGCGCGATGGCCGCCGTGGAGGGGGCCGCGGCGGAGTGGGAGGCTGGGGTGGCCTGGAGGTGAGACCCGCTGCGTGCGCCGAGCCGGGGGTCCCGGCGCCCGGTCACCTTAACCCCCCGCCGGGGAAGCGAGGCGCGGAGCAGACCCCTGGAGGCCGGCCAGTGGGAAGAGGCTGGGCCTGGGGACGGCGGGGCAGGGTCCCCTTCTGGCTCCCGGCGCGCGCCGCCACGACCCTCCGCTGCTGCCTCTCCGTACCCTGGTGGGGGCCAGCTCCCTCTTGGGGGGCAGCGAGCTGCCTCTCCCCCAGGCCCAGGCTGCCCCTGCTCCCTGCCCTGCGCTGTGCCCGGAGCCTTTGCACAAGACCTGGTTTCTGGGCTTCGGGGGTGACCGAGGACCCCGATGGGAGACCAGACCAAACCACAGGAATGAGCTGTGCGGGCCAGACGTGTTGTCCTACTTGATCTGAAATGTTCCTGCTCTGGGAGCTCAGAGGAGGGGGGCGAGGTCTAGGCCGGTCTCTTCTTTGTAAAGGCATGCCCATTCTTTTAGGAGTAGCTTCAAAAGCCCCTTCCTCTGGGAAGCCTTCCAGAGTTGCCACCTGCATCTCCGAGCTTCTCATCTCGTTTAGCTCGTTGAGCTAGTGCTTACTAACTTGTTTCACGTGTGTGCCTGAGTCTGCAAGTCTCCGGGTCCCTCTCTAGGCAGGGGCTCTATCGTTGTAACGCATGCACGCGAATATGACTTTAAAAGGATTGAAACGGTTAGAAGGTGCCAACATGTGGGCCTGCAGCTGTGGGAAGTGTTTGCGAAGGTCGCAGGCTGAAGAATGATGGCCCCAGGGCCAGGTAGGACTGTAGACAGCAATGTCTTTCACATCTACTCACACAAGATCTAGGCTTTAGCATGTCTTTAAAGCTCAGACGTGTCCACATGCCGCGCCCCCCCACCATGTCTACACGGTGCACTGAGCAGGAATTGAGGAGCTCCGCCTTCAGACTCGGCATCCAATTTCCAGAGCCCCAGTCCCCACTAGTCTCCAGCATCTCCCTGACATGGAAGCAAAGTATCGTTTTGTCATGGATCATCACCTAGCTTCCTTCATTCGTTCTGATGAAGTGCCTGGCCTGTGGCTGTTTGGGTTCTGGGTTCCCGGAGTAGATGGAGACCTGGAGCAGCATCGCGAGCAGAAGAGTGGGAGGCAAAGGGACAGCAGAGAGAAGCACAGTGTCTGGGAAGTTAGGGGAGACCGTGAAGCACAGTTTTGCTCTTAGGTGAATCATAGAGGAGGGCTCTCGTTCCATGTTGCATTGCGTCCCTCCACCCCAATTGTGTCCGCTCAGTATATCGACGTCTTAACCCCACTAGCTCAGAATGGGACCTTACTGGAAATAGGATCGTTGCAGATGTAATTAGTTAAGGTGAGGTCATACTGGAATAGAACAGCTCCCTTCCCCCTTCCCCCCACCCCCCCGATTCAATGTGAGTGCTGTCCCTATAAGAACAGGGCCATGTGAAGAAACCAAAGCAGGGAGAAGCCACGTGGGGAGGGAGGCAGAGATTGTGGTGATGCATCTACAAAGCAAGGGACACAAGGACTGCCTGCTGTCACCGGCTGCTGGGGGGAGGGGGGCAGGCTATCCCTGAGCCCACAGAAGGAAGCCACCTGCCGGCACCTTCGCTTCAGACTTCTGGCCTCCGACTGCGAGAGAACGCGGTTGTGCTCAAAGCCACCCACTCTGGGATACTTTGTTACCGTACAAAGTACGGAGGAGCCTGTAGGAGCCTGCGTACAGCAGCCCTAGGGAATAACATAGCTCGGAAGTCAAGAGGCGCTATCATTTCCTTTAATAGATGATTTAAAAATTCACGGTAAGTTTTCGATCATTGTCGTCAGGGAAAGCAGGAGTTGAGAAAAGTACTTCATCCAGCAGCATTAGCTTTACCAGTTGGAACCAGAAAGCAGATTTATCAGAGATTTTTCCAGGCAATCCAAGCACGGGGTGAGAAGGTTCTGGACTCAGGTGGGGTTGGAGAGGGCCAAAGGAGTTTTCAGAGTTCGTAGGTATGGAAAGAGGGGAGTCCAAGATGAAATCATAGCCCACCTGCATCTCCTGGAGGGCTTGGCAGGTACCAACTGCCAGGCCCCTCCCCCACGGTCTGACTCAGTGGGTCTGGGACGCTGCTGGAGAATTGGCATTTTTACCAAGCTCCTGGGACAGGCTGATGGTGCTGGTGTGTGGACCACATTTTAGGTGGCATAAACAACTGTGTCTCTGGCCTAGAAGCCCCTGGAACGCCAGACCCCACGAAGGCAGGGACTTGGTCTTGTTCACCACGGCATCACAGGATCGAGAACAGTGCCTGGATGCCATAGGATCACGGTAAATACTTGTTCAATGAAAACGGGTCATTTGGCAGAAATGGATAGTAAGAAAGGGGAATAAGTGTAAAATGACGAGTTCATCTTTATCCATTTGCTTCACAATCCAGTAAGACACAGGACTAGAGATGCACAGTGAGTGTAGATGAAAATGTGGGTGAGGAATAGGAGTTCCAGATCATGATTCATCCTGGACAAAGGAGATCATGGGAGCCAGAGGAGGTGTGGCCACTGATACGTCACATAAAGACAGGACTAGGGGCTGGGCCTCCATAATGCTTGTAATACACTGAGAAATGGGTAAAGATAGTACAAAAGGGCTTGGAATATCACCCACTGTGGAAGCCAAGAGAGAAAAGGATTTCAGGAATTATTGGGTCAAGGGGTAACCTGCTGACTCATTCTGCAGTTTTTTATTGCGCGCCTGCTATATTCAGGCCCCTGTTCCAACACTGAAAACAGAAGGAGCCCCCAGCCCTGTGGAGTCTCTTGAGAAGTTTACATGGTCATGGTGTGCACTGTCCACCTTGGGGGGCTTTGTCGGCACAATGACCCTGTGGGACAAGTGCTCTTCCTTCTGTTGGACATCGAGAGGAGGATGGTTGAGGGAGATTAAGGCACTGGGATTCTAACTTGGTTCTGCTCACTCCCACACCCTGTGCTCTGCTCAGGTCTCCAAGCCGTAATTAGTGACACTTTTCTGCTTTAGATGCTACTTGCTACTTGTGTGCTGATGATCCTGACATCTTTGTCTGCATACCAGATGTTCCTCCTGGGCTCCGGAACTGTTGGCCCATCGGCTCTGCAGGCATTTCTCCTGGATGCCTCACAGGTATCTCCCAACAAGTCTGAAATTATTTCCCCCACTGCCTTCCCCTCACCCAGTCTTTGCCTCCAACTACCCAATTCAGGCGGTTGCCCAAGTTAGAAACATGGATGCCATCCTTAATGCCTGCCCTGCCCCCTCGGCCCCTCTGTCTAGGACAGCACCAGGTCTTGCTTCTCTGACATATGGACTCGATCCCCCCGTGCCCTCTGCCCGGAGCTCACTGGGGCCCTCCCAGGCTCCAAGCAGACCACTGCTGTAGTTGCCTGCCTGATACCCCGCTCGCAGCCTTGACCCAACATCCACCCTCCAGAAAACGGTCAGAACAGTCTTCTAAAACCATAAATCTGCTTACACCATTCTCCTGCGTTAACCCCTTCAGGGGCTTCCCATGGCCTTCAGGAGAAAGCCCAAAGCTCTTGGTCCTCCACGAGTTGACCAGCCCTTCCCAGCTCCACCTTCTGCTGTCCCGCATCCTGGGCTCGGTCCCATGTGCGTGCGTGGACGCTGGTGGCTTCTCTCACCTTCCGCCCATGCACATGCTGCAGCCTCGTGGGAAGTCTGGTTATCTCAGGTGGTCTCTGAGTCCTCAGCTTAGAAGCTTCGTCCTTCCAGAAGTTTCCTGCCTGTCCCCCGTCAAGGACGTGCTCTTCCTGCAAGGTCTCACGGCACCCCATGCGCACCCTTCCTGAGCCCCCAGCCCAGCAGGGGCTCTTCAAGGAGAGGGACTCTGTCCTCGGTATCGTCCTGCATGGTGCTCGTTACTTCCCACCTAGTGCAGTGCATGGCCCACAGCAGGGCTCAGAGGGCAGATCAGCACTGGGGAGCGGCAGAGAAGAAATACAGCGGAGTGCGGAGTCGCTGACAAGACAGGGTGACGTAGGGGTTTCACCCCATGGTCTCCCCTTTCTAAAGTGAGGACGGGATTGGCCACTGAGTGCCAGGGTGATGAGCGACATAGCAGAGTTCTAAGGAGAGAAGCGAAGGTACCAAGTGTCTGCTGCTCTCTCCTGGGTGGTTCCTGAGCAGGGACTTCTGTTTCAGGAATTCAGGATGCTGTGGGATGTGGCTGTGAGCAGGTCACGGAGGATGCTGGGCCCCAGGCCTGCGCTCCATGGAAGCTCCGTGGGGAGGAGACGCTGTGGGAGGCAGAGCTGGCCCCACCAGTGGAGGGGGGCGTCCATACGCTCTCCGCTTTCTGAGTTTGGGGTGAAACACACAAATAAGGATAGTCTGTACAGGGATCATTGGCATCAGAGAATCGAGGATCCCCAGTGGTTTTGATGCCTGGTGGCAGGGCGCTTGCAGTCTGTGCCGAAGGGCATCCAGCCTCATCTCAAGGGGATGGCAGGGTGGGGGGCACAGTTCTGGGTTTGCCTGGGTGTTCTGGAAGGACTGGGCTCTCACCTCCTCCTCTGCCCTTCTCTGTCCTCCTTGTATTACTGGATCTGCACCGTTTCTCCTTGGCCAGTGGGCACGAGGTTTAGATTTTGTCTGTGGATGGTGCCAGAGGGACAGTGCAAGGCCACAGGAAAAGGAAAAGGAAGGGAGTTCTCCTCCTGGCGTTCATGCACCACCTCATTTTTTTTTCTTTTAAAAATTGTATATATCTATTAGAGAGCAGACACAAGTGGGGGTGCGATCTCCAAAAAGGTCCGAATCTCAGACCCAGCTGGGATACAGTCCTCTTCTCAGTTCTTTGTTCTTCCCTCTTAGACTTCTCAGTATGGGGGAAGAGGTGATGTTTGTATTTTAGGAATGCTAGCATGGTCTACTTATCATTTCAGATCCAGAGATCAGGAATAACATAAAGGGCCAGAAGTCAAAGATGAACGTACCTGGAGACAAAGATCCAGCAAGGGTTGTATCCAAAGGATGCCAGAGACTGATCCGTCAGGAGCGTGGGTTGGTTGAAGCTGCTGACCCTGTGGTCAGGTCATTGAGGCATTGGGTGAGCCCCTCACAGGATGCAGGGGGGGCTCCCCGCTTCCCAAGGGAGAGCTATCAAGGAAGTGAATCTCATTCCCGCAAAAGCCATCGCAGGAGAGAGAGGCCACGGATGTAATGGGAGAGAAAGGACACTTTCTACAGGAGAAAGATCCCACAGCGGAGAAGCCTGTGGTGAGAGATTCCAGCAGACGGCAGAGGTCACCCAGCGCCAGAAAACTGGTAACGTGAAGAAAACCCATCAATGTCAGGAATGTGGGAAAACGTTCAACCGGAGCTCAAACCTGATCATCCACAAGAGAATTCACACGGGGAGGAAACCCTATATGTGTGACGAATGTGGGAAAGACTTCAACCAGAGTTCAAATCTCATTATTCATTAGAGAATTCACACAGGGAAGAAACCTTACCTGTGTTGCGAGTGTGGGAAGGACTTCAACCAGAGCTCCAACCTGGCCAGGCACCAGCGGATCCACAGCGGCGAGAACCCCTATCAGTGCCAGGAGTGCGGCAAGGCCTTCCGCGGGAGCTGCAGCCTGGTCCTGCACCAGAGGACCCACGGCGGCGGCGGGAAGCCTTTCGCGTGCCACGAATGCGGCAAGGCCTTCAGCCAGAGCTCGGACCTGGTCATCCACCACAGAGTTCACACTGGAGAGAAGCCGTACGAGTGCTGAGTGCGGCCAGAGCTTCAGCCAGAGTTCACACCTGGCCACACACCAGAGGACCCACACCGGGGTGAAGCCCTTCACGTGCCCTGAGTGTGTGAAGGCCTTCAGACAGCGTGCACGCCTCACCGAGCACCAGAGGCTGCACAGCGGGGAGAGGCCCTATGCGTGTGGCGGGTGTGGAAAGGCCTTCAGCGGGCGCACGGCTCTGCTCAAGCACCAGAGGCTGCACGTGGGCCAGGACGCGGGCCAGCTGGGACAGCAGAAAACAGAGAGGGAGGAGAAGCCCTATGAGTGTACAGAGTGTGGGAAAACCTTCCAGGGAAGCTCAGACCTCATCCGGCACTGGATAATCCACACCGACGAGAAGCCCTACGAGTGCAGGGCCTGCAGGAAGGCCTTCAGCCAGAGCTCACACCTGCTCACGCACCAGAAAATCCACACCGGGGAGAAGCCATATCCATGCGGTGAGTGCGGGAAAGCCTTCCGGCAGCGCTTACTCCTTGTCCAGCACCGAAGAATCCACACCGGGGAGAAGCCCTACGAGTGCGGGGCCTGCGGGAAGCCCTTCATCTGGCGCACAGCCTTTCTCAAACACCAGAGGCTTCACGCTGCAGAGAAACCCCAGGGATGCGGGAGGACACTGAGCCAGGACCAGGTGCCTGGGGATGAGCGGGGAACTCATGGGGAAGAGAGAGCGCCCCGGTGCAGCCAGCATGCCAGAACCTTCCAGGGCAGCTCGGACTTCGTGGGACCTCCAGTGACTCGCGCAGGAGAGAAGCCCCATGCGTGTGCAGAGTGTGGAAAATCCTTCCAGCAGAGCTCAGCACAAGGCACCTGAGAATCCACAGCGGGGAGAAGCCTTACCCCTGTGCTAAATGCGGGAAGTCCTTCAGGGGCAGCTCCGACCTCATTAAACACCACCGCATGCACACGGGAGAGAAACCCTACAATTGCCCTGAATGTGGGAAGGCCTTCAGTCAGAACTCCTACCTTCTCAGTCACCAGAGGATCCACACTGGAGAGAGACCCTTTGAATGTGGCGCTTGTGGGAAGGCCTTTGGGGGGCGCATGGCCTTCCTTAAACACCAGCGGCTGCACCCCGGGGAGGGGCCGGGGCGCAGCGACAGAGCCCACAGACAAGACTTGGAGGTGATGGAACCCTAAGGGGCCCAGGGCACGCCTGAGGGAGGCCATTCTTATTGCACTGTCAAGGTGTTTGTCACTAGAAAGCATCTGGAGGCAGGAAGACATCAGGGCACCGCGTCAGGCGGGAAACCGGAGTGTAACCAGGCGACAGAGCTCGGATTTACAGGCTGTCCTTCTGACTCTGAGTTGACACTGGATGTGGTCCCCGGGATGTAATCACTGGACGATGTTTCAGGGGATGTCTACTGTCATTAAAGTCGTTAGAAGTCACCGTGGCAACAGCCCCAGAACTAAATTCTTCATGAAAGGAGCCATTTCAGCCCTGACACCCTGGTCCAGGGACAGGTCTAAATCTGCTTTACGTACTTTAGGGGTGGTTCCCATTAGGGATGTGCTTTATATGTGTGTCTCCCCCTCTTCTCGTCCTTACACACGTGTGATGATGCTAACTGCAATGATCCACGAACTGGGAGGAAGCCACAATGACAGGAGGACAGCTGGACACCAAGACAAGGGCCAGAGGAGGGTGTCCCGCAGAGAAAGCGGGGTGTCCTCTGGTAGCCCCAGGAGATAGGAGAGCAGGTGTCAGGGACAGAATCAGAGCATGCACCAGGGCACAGCGTAGAGGTAGCCTGAGTGGGGAGGAAGTCTACTGCAAAAGATCAGGGGACTGTAGGGGCAGTGTTTTTGTCTCGACCCAGGGCTTTGCAAGGGGGCATAACTGGTTTGAGAATTGGAAGGGCCAAGTGGAACCCTGGAGCTCACGAAGCCTGGTGATTAGGCTCCACCCATCTGGACTGTCATGGCCAATCAGCACTAGGCTTTTCCAACCTGGGTGGTCACGGCCAGTCAGCATTAGGCTCTGCCCATCTAGGCGGTCACAGCCAGTTAGCATGAGGCTCTGCCTGCCTGGGTCATCACAGCCAGTTAGCATTAAGCTCTGCCCACCTGGGCGGTCATGGCCAGTGAGCAATAGGCTCTGCCCATCTGGGTGGTCACAGCCAGTCAACATTAGGCTCTGTGCATCTGGGCGGTCACAGCCAATCAGTGTTAGGCTTTGCGCATCTGGGCGGTCACAGCCAATCAGTATTAGGCTCTGCCCATCTGGGCGGTCAGAGCTAATGAGAATTAGGCTCCGCCTGTCTGGGTCATCACAGCCAATTAGCATTAGGCTCTGCCCATCTGGGTCATCACAGCCAATCATCAGATTCTCTTTGTGCTGGGCTGTACCTGCATTCGTAAGCTAACTCACATGAGCCATCAGGTGAGAGAGGGACTGGATGGGACTGCAAAACAGGAGAATTTCCACCTCGGGTCTTTCTGCAGTGAGAGCAGCTTGTGAGATGCACAGAGGGGGCCTGGGGTTCTCAGCTGGGCTGCCCCTTGAGGGACCTTTGGCAACATCTGGAAACGCTGTGCTGGTCACAGGTGGGAAGAAGCGATGGGCATCTAAACACCAGGGATGTTGCCAAATAGTTTAGAAGGTTATGAGAGGTTAGAATCTGTTGAGAGGAGCATGTCCACCACGGTGAGGTGAGCCCCACAAAGGAGAGACCGAGAGGCCGCAGTGGGGAGTGTGAGCTAGTTAGCTGGAGGGAGCTCTCTCCGACATTTGCCCCTGAACGTCCGCAGCTCCCCCAAGGACCTGGGCACTGCCCTCTGGCCCTGTGAGCCTCCCAGAGCATTGCCCTCTGCCCGGGACGTGCCCTCCTCACCCAGCTCCGTGTTAACGCTCCCTGAGCATCGGGTCCCGTGCGGGGACTTACTGCCACCTGCTCTCGCACTCTCGGCCTCGGTCTTCGGTGGGGGCACCACTGTTAGCCCTGTTTTCTATCCAGGACCCAAAACTCGTCAGTGAAGACTCAGATTCAAAGCAGGCTGGCCGGACCGCAAAGGCCACCTCCTGGTCTCCCTGAGCGCCTCGCACACCCTGACCCCGACTGCGACCAGGGCTCGCGAGGGCCCAAAGTGCGTCCCTCCGGCGGGGTGGGGGGCGGCGAATCCGGGGGCCAGAAGTCCCGGCGCCGGGGAGGGAGAAGAGAGGGGGCACCACATGGGGGGTGCAGGGCAATTGTGGAGGAGGGGGCGCTGCCCTAGTGGGGGGCATAGCGGGGCAGTGTTGGGGCATGGCTGGGGAGGTGGTGCGCAGAGTCTGGACGTGGGGGAGGGAGCAGAGAGAGTGTGTGGCATGGGGTAGGGGGCGGCGCAGGATGCAGGGCGGAGGAGAGCAGTGTTGGAGCGCAGAGTCCGGGTCCCACACAGGGAACAGGTGCGTGCAGAGTCGGTCCCCGTGCCCGGCTCCGGCTCTGAGGCTTCGGCTCTCCCACCCGGGGCAGCAGACTGGCTCTCCTCAGCCCCACGCCTGGGGACCACTCACCCCCATGCCCCGAGCCCTGCCAGCCCACGGCCCAGGCAGCCTCTGCGGAGACTGAGTGAGGGGACGGGAATGTGGCCGCAGCTTGCTGGGCAAGCAGCTCCATCAGTGACGCGAACCCGGTTCAGGAGGCCCTCTGGACCTTCATAAAACCCCAGAAACTCCCTCTGGGTTACCTTCCGGGATTCTGAGCATCACAGACTTACAGAACTGTCTCTGGTTCCGGTCTTGAAAAGTCAGAGGCTTACTGCCCAAATCCTCCTCCTCCTCACCCCCCCAAAATGCCTCTAGCAAATCAGAGGAGGCGTCCTGATGCTCGCCTGCCCTCAACTAACAGGGCGCTGACCCCAGTGCGAACCCCAATCTGCAGGGGATGAAGGAGCCGTCACTGCGGTTGGAGGCCTCGCTCGGGGACTGCTCCCCGAATCCAGATGATTTCCACTCGAAGACGGAGACTGACACAGGGAGTGTTGAGTCAGAAGAAGGACTTCACTAGTAGTGGGGCAGGTAGATAAAGAAGATTAGAGGAGGGCAGGAAACAGGCCAGTTTCGAGGCTGTTGAAATAGTCCAAACAGAATGATACACTCCTGATTGATCAGGTGAGGGCCAAAGGAAAAAACTGGTAAAAGGCATGTGTTATAGGAACAATTGAAAGTAAAGACAGAAAAGAATCAAATGACCTTGAGCTTGGGAAGAAATCGGACCATGTGTATCAAAAAGTTAAAGTTTGCGTCTCCTAGGTTTCTGCAGACAACATAGCTCTTACTGTGTGGCATGCACCACTGTAAATGATTTATGTTAATTCACTTAATGCTTATCAAGCCTATGAAGCAGGTAAAAAGACTTGAAAGGCGGAAACCCTAGGAAAAGGTCAGGTACAGAGAAGAATGTGTGAGCTCTTAGAGCTGGAATTCAACTAAGGCTGATTCCAGAGTCTGTGCTCTTAACCACATTCTCAGAAAGACCTTCTGAAGGAGGCAGAATCTCATCTGGATTTGGAAGGCAGAGGGGGACTTGGCTCCACACACCTTAACATGAGCTATTCATTTATTTATTTTTTAAAGATTTTATTTATTTATTTATTTATTTGACTCGATCTTACAACCCTGAGATCATGACCTGAGCCAAAACCAAGAGTCGGACTCTCAACCAACTGAGCCACCCGGGCGCCCCCACCGTTCACCTCTTCTAGATGAGGAAGCAGAGACAGAAAGGTTGAGTACCTGAAGGTCACACAGCAAGTAAATGGGAGAGGCCGACCCAGGCTGTCTATACAGCCAGAGTCCACGTTCTTAACCACCATGCTCCACTCTACACGATAATCCAACAAAATCTGGAAAACCCAGGAGAGTGGCGTCAGTGGGAAATGAGAGGAATGGAAAGACTAGCAATTTTTTTTTTCCTGAAAAATCAGACTACATAGTAAGTGTGTTAGTTTCTTAGGCTGCTATTAACAAATTGCCATGGGCCAGTTAGCTTAAAACAGCATAAAGTAATTCCCTCATTCCCTACAGATCCAAAATCAAGGTGTTGGCAGGGCCATGCTCCCTCCGAAGCCTCTAGGGGATGGTCCTTTCTTGTCTCTTCCAGATTCCAGTGGCCCCTGGGGTTCTTTGGCTGGTGCCCGCATCACTCCAACCTCTGCCTCCACCTTCATGTGGCTGTCGTCCCTCTCTATCTCTGTGTCACAACGTCCTCCTTCTTATAAGGACACCGGTCACATTGGGCTTAGGCCCCACCACATCTCAACTTGATGACATCTGCAAGGATGCTTTTTCCAAATAAGGTCACACTGACAGCTTCTGGGGAGACATGAATTTGGGGGAGACACCATTCAACCTAGTAGAGCAGGGAAAAATTGTTCCAGAATAATGGACGATTGGGAGCTTGGGACAGGGCATTATCGGAGACAAGAATATTAGAAGAGCAGGTCATTTTCAGGATTGTTAATTTAGAACTGACCTGGCTTCCAAGAGAAAATATTTACCGTTTCACTCGGTAATGAGATGAAGATTTTGTCCAGGAAGGCCAGCCGGCTCTTCAGCTGGGGCTTAGACTCTGATCCTCCACTTTCCAGGCCCAGAAATCTTATTTTGCCAGTGTAGCCACCCAGAATTGTTCAGGCCAGAGAAATGGACTTAATACTGCCCAAGTCACGAGAATGATGTCCAGACCAGGGGAAAATGCAATTGCCAAGTGGGTCAGAAATTGCTGGGCTGTCAACGCATTCTCTCTCTAGGGAAATCTCTAGAGAAAGCCAAATTCTAATCAGAAGTTTGGTAGGCCTGGAAGCAAAGCAGAGGAGTTACCTGGGTCATGTTGGTGCAGGTGACATCCAGCTCTGATCATCTGGTATACCTACCTACCTGCTCTTGGGAGGAGGGGGGCATCTGCCAAGGGGACAGAATATCCCCGTCAGCCAGCGTGAGCATCTTCCCCCTGAATCAGTGCTGAGGGCACAGGCACATTTCACTCTCTGACTGCATCTCTTCTAGACTGAAGCTGAGGGTCCCTTCAGCTGGGGTTGAATACAACGGATTGGGTTCTCCTGTCTTGATTATCATCATACTCCACTCTACATCTGGATCACCTCAGCCATTACGTGTTGGTACTAGCTGGTTTGTTATCAAAGAGTAATTCCTTCCAAGGTCTGTCGGCATCTTGACTTTGCTCCTTCGCAGGGAGAGCAAGCCCACCGGCCATTCTGTCCTCCCCGCATGCCCTCAGCTTCGTCTGCCACACTGCTCTGTTCCTACTGAGCCCAGACACAGCCCCAGCACTTAAAGGGATGCTCGAGGCAAAAGCTTTTCAATCCTTTCTAGCTGACACTAGAGACAAAACCTACTTGCCATTCCCCCCCAACTACCTATTGATTATATCCACTAAGTGACCAAGAAGATCAAACTGTCACTCAGTGTCTCAAGTGTCAGGCAAAAAAATCATGTCATAAGCAACTTTTGAAGTATCCAGGCTGCTCACCACGATCCACCTGTCCTTCTCACCCATAGTGGTGGGGTCCCCAGCAACCAAGTTCGCCATGTGTGACCCCCACACAGCCACGCTCTCTCCCCTGCCTGCCTCTTGCCCTAAGCTGGAACAACTGGACCCTCTTTTCTGAGATTCTGGAACTCGGAAAATCTAGTTCAGCCAGGGCTGGTCTTTTGAATAAAGGACATTTTAAGACGCAGGAGCTGAAGTAGTAAAGGAGGAAGGCAGTCTGCAGAGAGAAGAATGAAGTGGACCCACATAAAGATTCAGAAACTCTCCAGGGGTGTCTCTGACAATCAGCCGGCTTTGGGGGATGTTTGTACAGACCACAGACACCAAAGTAGGGTTTAGAAGCCTCTCTCTTTCCCAGATTACAGAACCATTTTTGAGGACTTAGAAGCTCAATCCAAACATGGAAATGTTTTTACATTGATCACTTGCCTCCCCTTCTAGGAATTTCTTTTCTCCTAGCATGAGAAGGCAAATATT